ACTGAGCGTCGGTGGGGGAGGGAGTGGGATGTTTGTGGATGTGGTGCCAATCAAGCGGGGGCTGCTTTGTCCTGGATGGTGTCGAGCTTCTTGTTTGTTGTTGGGGCTGCCCCCATCCAGGGGCAAGTGGGGGGGTATTCCATCACACTCCTGCCTTGTGCCTTGTAGATGGTGGGACAGGCTTTGGGGAGTCAGGAGGGGAGTTACTCACTGCAGGATTCCCAGCCTCTGACCTGCTCTTGTAGCCACTGTGTTTATGTGGGGAGTCCAGCTGAGTTTCTGGTTAGTGATAATCCCCAGGATGTTGATAGTGGGGGATTCAGTGATGGGAACACCATTGAATGTCTAGGGGCTGTGGTTAGATTGTCTCTTATTAGAGATGGTCATAGCCTGGCATTTGTGTGAATGTTACTTACCACCTTGTCAGCCCAAGCCTGGATATTGCCCAGATCTTGCTGCATTTGAACGTGGACCATTTCGGTAACCCTCCTAAAATGTAAAAGTATCTCATAGCTAAGGATTGATGCTGGCTTAATGCTGAAGTTACTAATAGTCCAGAGACACATGTTGTTCTTGTAGAGATGTAGGTTTGAATCCCCCCTATGTAGCTGGTGGAACGTAAATTTAACAAATAAAGGCAGAATATGAAACTAGTCTCAGCGATGGTTACAACAATCAGCGATTTTAATCAAAAAAAATCATCTGGTTCACTGATGCCCCTTTAGGGAGGGACCTCTCCTGTCCTTACCTGGTCTGGCCTACACGTGACTCCTGACCCACTGCAATGAGGCTAACTCTTCACTGCCCTCTGGGATGGGAGTGAGATTCCGGGATGGGAGGGAGATTCTGGGATGGGAGTGAGTGTCTCTGGGACGGGAGTGAATTTCCAAGATGGGGGTGAGAGTCTCCGGGATGGGAGTGAATTTCCAGGATGGGAGTGAGTGTCTCTGGGATGGGAGTGAATTTCCAAGATGGGGGTGAGAGTCTCTGGAATGGGAGTGAATTTCCGGGATGGGGGTGAGAGTCCCTGGGATGGGAGTGAATTTCCGGGATGGGGTTGAGAGTCCCTGGGATGGGAGTGAGTCTCCGAGAAGAGTGCGAATTGCCAGGATGGGTATGAATTTCCGAGAATGTTGCGAATTTCCGGTAATAGAAGTAAGTCCCCCCCCGCCTCCATCTGACCAAGCGACCACTACTGAGTGACATGGAGGAAGCCTCGTTACCTCATGTTGAATGTGCTCACACCAGCGAAACCAGGCCATCCCCACATTACAATCAGGCTCCATTCGTTAATACGTTCATAAGTTGCATTGTGCGCAAATCAAAACAGAACACAGGGCGGGAAAACGTACCCGTTCGTCAGTACGAGCAAATGGTCGCATGTTGGGTCAGTGAAACAAACAGGAAAAGGCGATCTGGTTTGTAAGTGCACGTGTTTGTAAGGCAGGTGAGGAAGAGGCTTCTGGCTGGAGCTCAGATCTCTCTCCCATCTCCCTCAGCCTGAAGATTGGAAGATGGTTGCGAAGCTCCAGAAACACCAGTACTTGCACCAGAAGAAAGCTCTGCAGGCCATGGAGGAGTGAGTACTCCCACTCTTTTCATTCATTTGGCACATTAGGGGAGGTCATCCTTTTCTGCTTCCAACTCTATTCCTTCCCACATAGTCTGCAAAACAGGAGCATTTTTTTTAAATGGGTATCATGGGCTGGGCCCAGCATTTATTGCCCCGTCCCTAGTTGCCCCCCTTGAGAAGGTGGGGGGCGGTGCTTGCGCTGCCTTCTTGAACCGCTGCAGCCCATATGTTGTAGGCAGACCCGCATTCGCACTTTGGGAGCGAGTTTTGGAATTTTAACCCAGTGACTGCGAAGGAACGGCGATACATTTCCAAATCAGGATGGTGACCCACGAACCACTTCTATCTAGAAGGACAAGGGGCAGCAGATACGTGGGAACACCAGCCCCCTGCAAGTTCCCCTCCGAGCCACTCCCCATCCTGACTTGGAAATATATCGCCGTTCCTTCAGTGTTGCGATTTTGGTCATGGGTTAATTACTGGGCAGGACACCGGGAAAAGAGTCGCCTGCTCTTTTCTACCAAAAATGGGATGCCATGTACTCCCAGGACAGGTTTGATAAGCCTTGGGCCTGCAACAATGTGGCACTCCCTCAGGAATGCCGGCCTAGCTTTTGTGCTCCTGTTGTTGAAGTTGGATTTGACTCTATGACTTGCCTCCCATTCCACCAAATTCCTGACTGGAGCTGCTCCTAAATTTTCAGGAAGATCCTACCTCTCCCGCCGCACCGTTCCCTCCCGGGCTTTCCTTGTCCGACAGGGTCCGGGCCCAGTTGCCTACCTGGAGCTGAGGCTTCTTGTTCCCATCATAGGCCGCCTTCTGAGCCTGTCTCACCTCCTTCTGCAGCCTGAAGCAAAACAGAGGCCCCTGTCAGAACCTACGGAGGATAACCCCCCCACAAACCGCACTTCCCCACCCACTGGGAATCTCCCATCGGATAGCAGCCGCTGGAAAAACTCAATGGCAGAGTGGCCAATCCTCTAGGACATATCCTGGAGACTGGGAGTTGAATTCATTCCGGAGGAAACAAGACAGAGGCACTGGGGAAGTTTCCCAAAAATCAACAGGACAGGCACCGGGAGGGAGGAGTTTTTAATTCTTATCCAGCGTTTTGACTCATTACAACATCAACTCATATTTGTCTAGTGCCTCTAATGTAAAGAAGCAGCTCCAAGGACCTTCACAGGGGCATTCCAGAGCAAATGAACCGTGAGGTCAGGTGACTATAAATTTGGTCAAAGACTTTGTTTTTACGGAGAGTTTAAGGGGGAAAATAATGAAAGAGAGAGAGAGAGAGCGGGAGGGTGGGGGCAAAGAGATTTAGGGAATGCTACAGTTTAAGGGCCCAGGCAGCTGAATGGTGCCAGTAAACCTGGGGATTATGAAGTGGCCAGAATTAGAGGAGAGCGGATTTGGAGAATTGTAGAGGCTGGAGGAGTTTCTCGAGGAAAGGAGAGAGTCAAGGCCACGTCTGGATTTGTAAACAAGGACGAGTAGTTTGAGAATCGAGTTGTTTGAGATATCCGTTGTGTGAGTGGTGGGGAGCGGGGAGAGTGGCAGCTGCTAAATGATCCGACGTTCAGGGAACGAACCATCATGTGATGGAGGATCTCATTTGGCCAGGGACAGGAAGAACGAGACAAAAGTCGTTGAAGCTTTCTCTCTTGCGTTCTGCTGCACAATTCCGAGCTCCCTTTCCTGCTCTGACATGCAGCTGGGATCCCTGAAAGAAGTGGACATGCTCCCAATCAGATCATTAGCAGCGGAGAGTGAACACTGCACAAAGTCTTCCTCAACAAAACTGGCAAGCTATGGGACTTTTCCAAGCCTCGTTTCTTCAACAGGCGCAGTGGATAGTGCCCGCACCTCTGGGTCAGAAGTTCGAGGTTCAAATCCTACTCCAGGATCTGTTGGACAAATCCAGGACAAATTAACCAGTTCTGGAAACTGCCTGCCCCCATCCTAGGAAATGTACGTGTGAAGAAATGCTTAAAAATACATAGGGGTTTTGTTCTGAGGAAGGGCCGCTCTGCTTTTTCTTTTGTCTACCGATGCCGCCTGAGTTTCTCCAGCAATTTCTGTCATCAGGCTAAATTTGAGCCTCGTAAGAGGGTATTAGGGTTGGTGATCAAATGCTTAGTTTTTAATGGCGCATCTTTAAGGAAGACTGAGAGGGATTTCCTGAGGGTCTCACAGTGAAGGGATAAAAATCCAAGTCACGAGGTGAGGCCAGGATTTCAGGAGCGTAAGGAGCTCAGCGGCACTGTAGGTAGTGGTGGAACTCACCTGTACCAGCACAAACCTGCGACTCCCAGTCCAAAGAGGCCAGTCACGGCACAGATGATAACCAGGCCTGCAGAGAGAGAGAGAGAGGAGAAGGAGAGGGAAATGTTAGTGGATTAACTGTCTCCCTTTCCTGCTCTGACATGCAGCTGGGATCCCTGAAAGAAGTGGACATGCTCCCAATCAGATCATTAGCAGCGGAGAGTGAACACTGCACAAAGTCTTCCTCAACAAAACTGGCAAGCTATGGGACTTTTCCAAGCCTCGTTTCTTCAACAGGACTTCCTAAAATAGAAGTGGGGATCACATCTTTGCCACTCCCTCAGCCTCACTTTCCAAATTCAGACCAATTTGGAGAATTGCTGCTAAAACAGCCACGCAGTCAAAACCTTTCCACTTGCAGTCATCAGGACACGATCACAAGAATGTCACTTTTTAAAGGGAGCACCAATTTAGGGCTGCAGCAGGAAAAAAAAAGATGCCGATTGGTTAACTCAGATGCGTTGCCATGGAGAATGGAACTGCTGGTCCCCCATGTTTTTGTTTAATTCAGAAAAGGCACAATGCCTGGACATATCATTGCCTTCAGTTCTGGTCGCTACATTACAGGAAGGATGTGGAGGGTGCAGAAGGGGTTTACCAGGATGCTGCCTGGATTAAAGGGTATGAGCTATGAGGAGAGGCTAGAAAAACTCAGGTTGTTTTCTCTGGAGCAGCGGAGGCTGAGGAGAGACTTGACAGAAGTGACTATTATGAGGGGGCATAATTTTAAGGTGATTTGAGGAAGGTATAGGGGAGATGTCAGAGGTAGGTTCTTCACACAGAGATTGGTGGGCGTGTGGAATGCTCTGCCAGCAGTGGTAGTGGAGTCAGATACTTTAGAGACTTTTAAGCGACTCTTGGATAGGCACATAGAGGATAGTAAAATGTAGGGTATGCTGGGTAGATTGATCTTAGTAGGATAATAGATAACATTGTGGGCTGAAGGGCCTGTACTGTGCTGTACTGTTTTCTGTTTAATGTTCTATGTTCTAGAAGTCGATAACATTATGAGATGCTTGGATAGGTTTGATGGTCAGAATATTTTTTTCTCAGAGTTGAAATATCTAAGACTAGAGGCATGCATTTAAGGTGAGAGGGAGGAATGTTCAAAGGAGATGTGAGGGGCAAGTTTTTTACAGAGAGAGTGCTAGGAATCTGAAACGTGCTGCCAGGGGGTGGTGGTGGAGGCAGATAGGATAGGGGCGTTTAAGGGGCTTTTAGATAAGCACATGAATATGCAAGGAATGGAGGGATCTGGACCTATAGCAGGCAGAAGGGATTAGTTTCATTTGGCATCATGTTTGGCACAACATTCCTGCGCTGTATTGTTCTGTTCTATGTCCTTTTTACCTGCAGAGGACAGATCCCTGTGAGTATAAGTTGGTTCTGGCCAGTGTAGTGAGCCACTTTATGAGCCCACATGATAATCTTATGTTGTTGTTCTGTCTGGGATTTGGCATTGGTCCTAATGTGTGCAAGATGGAAAGTTTCAATCACATGTTGTGCGAACATACAAATATTCAAATCAGGAAGAGAAGTAACCCATGAAAACAGATCAAAAACCATAGCCATTGGAGATCTGAAAAGAACAAAAACAGAAATTGCTGGAGAAACTCAGCAGCAGGTCTGGGCAGCATTTGAGGAGAGGAACCCAAGTTAACGTTTTGGGACCTAGGAGTGCAGATACATAATTCTTTGATGTTTGTGCTACATATAGACAGGGTAGTTAAAAAGGCAATTGGCATGCTTGCCTTCATTGCTCAGTCCTTTGAGTATAGGAGTTGGGACGTCATATTGAGGCTGTACAGGACATTGGTGAGGCCTGTTCTGGAGCACTGTGTCCAGTTCTGGTCGCCCAGTTAGAGGAAGGATATTACCAAGCTGGAGAGGGATCAGAAGAGATTTGCCAGGGTGTTGCCGGGTATGGAATTTTTGGGTTATAAAGAAAGGCTGGATAGGCTGGGACTTTTTTCACTGGAGTGTAGGAAGTTGAGAGGTGACCTTATAAAGGTTTATAACATAATGAGGAGTATAAATAGGGTTAATGGTAGGTGTCTTTTCCCTACGGTGGGGGATTTTGAGACAACAGGGCACATTTTTATGGTGAGAGGAGAGAGATTTAAAACGGCATGAGGGGCAAATTTTTTACGCAGAGGGTGGTTTGCATGTGGAATGAACTTCCAGAGGAGGTGGTGGATGCGGGTACAATTACAACGTTTAAAAGACATTTGGATAAGTACATGAACCGGAAAGGTTTGGAGGGATATGGGCCAGGAGCAGGCAGGTGGGACTAGTTTAGTTTGGGGTTATGGTTGGCACGGACTGGTTGGACCGAAGGGTCTGTTTCCATGCTGTATGACTCTATGAGCCTACGTGTCCAGTGACCCTTCAGCAGCAATGCTGCCGGACCTGCTGGGTTTTCTCTGGCAGTTTCTGTTGCTGTTAGTTTCAGAGTGGGCCATTCCCTCCCACAAGCCTGACACGCCATTCGAAAAGATCGTGGGCTGGTTTGATCGCTGAACATTCCCACTTAATCCCCCAACAACCTCTCAGCCTCTCGTTCATCGAGAATCTATTTACATCGGCCTTAGAGATATTCCGACCCCGCTTCTATCAAGAAGGGAGAATGCCAAAGGCTCGCGCACCCTCTGTGAGAGAAAAAAATATTCAATCTCTGTCTTAAATAGGCGACCTCTTCCTTTCAGACAGTGACCCCTTTCTCTTGGTTTTGGGCAATACAAGAAGAATGCTTGGTACCTACTCAGTGAGACCATGTCATTCAGTAAGTATGAAGTCCTGTGGCGTGCTCTGTCATTCCTGCTGTGGATCTGTGTAGTCGTTCTCACTGTGCTCTGTGATTTCCCGGTGCTCTGGGAAGATTCTGGGTTGATCAGGGTGGCATGGCTGTCTCTGGTGGGCGCAAGGGTGTGACCCAGTTCGCTGACAGCTTCTGCACAAAGAGCGACAAGAAAATGCCACAGAGATAACACAGTGTGGAGCTGGAGGAGCACAGCGGGTCAGGCAGCATCAGAGGGGCAGGAAAGCTGACGTTTCGGATTGGGACCCTTCTTCAGAAAATGCCACACATTTACTGCTATCATTCCAGGGATGATATGGACTGGGCTTAACTCAGAGAGCAGTCAACGTACACAGTCCCAGCCTGGCCGGATTACCTGCTGTAGGTAATTGAGGGTCAAACATCGGTCAGGCATATGAAGGGATCTCCACTGCTCCATTGGGAAATACGACCAAAGGAGAGGGTGAGCAGGCTGCAGCTCATTGTCTAACAGGGCAGCACTCCCTCAGCGTTACATTATGGTGCCAGCCTAGATGGTGGCTCATTGGTTAGCATTGCTGCCTCACAGCACCAGGGACCTGGGTTCGATTCCACCCTCAGGCGACTGTCTGTGTGGAGTTTGCACGTTCTCCCCAACATCCCATGTCTGTGTGGGTTTCCTCTCACAGTCCAAAGGTGTGCAGGTTTGGTGGATTGGCCTTGCTAGATTACACAGTAGTGTTTAGGAATGTGCAGGTTAGGTGGATTGGCCTTGGGAAATATAGGGTCTTAGGGATGAGGTAGGGGAGTGAGTCTGGATGGGACGAGCTTGCAGATTTTGATAGGCCAAATGGCCTGCTCCTGCACTGTAGGGATTCTATAATTCTGTGATAGATTCTGTTCGCAAGGTCCTGGAGTGACATTTGTACTAACGGCTTTTAGACTTGAACGCAAATGAGCTCAAGCCACTGCTGCCACTCACAAGTGCATTTATATAGCCCCTCGCCCATAGAACTCAGCCCAGGCTTTCGCACTGTTTTCTCGGCTCTTCCACACAGAAATCTTGGCAGACCAGGGAGAAGACCCCTGGCGCAGTTAACTGTTTGACTGCGGGAGGCATCACATTTCTTCACCTTCAAGCAGAGATGTGGTGCTTGACCACACTGTACTCACCAGCCTGATGAGCCGCGGCTGAGCTGAACACAAGAGAGAGCAGGGACAGGCGGAGGAGAAGCACCATTATAGGAACTCTCTCCATGACTCTCGATGCCGGGGAGTTTTGCAGCCTGCTGTGCCCCTGCTTTATCTCTGGGCCTTCGCTGCCTGCAATGTGACTGGATGACCTTGTTCTGAGTAAACAGAGCTGATGGAAAACACAACGTTTGACAGGTTCCTGATCGTGCCCTCTCAGAACGGGAGGCAGTTCGGAAAAGCCAGGTCTCAGCTTCACGGAAACCAGAAAGGCTTTCGATTAAATATTGAAGAATTGTAACTGAGGCAGTGGGTCAGACACTGTCCCCCCTCTGGGACTGGGTGGGACAGTGGGTCAGACACTGTCCCCCCTCTGGGACTGGGTGGGACAGTGGGTCAGACACTGTCTCCCTCTGGGACTGGGTGGGGCAGTGGG